CGCGACGCGGCCTACCGCGCGCTGGCCGTCGCGGCGCGGGGCCGCTCGCACTGGAGCCGCGCCATCCTGGCACGCAGCCGGCGGTGCCGGGCGCTCCACTGCCTCCGCGCGCGCCGGCCGCCGCCGCCGAGGCCCCGTAAGCGGCACCAGCAGCAGCACCAGCAGCAGCAGGGCGGCGAAACCGAGGAGTGGCGGCCGGGAGGGCTGGCTGGCAGGGCCAAGGTGCTGGGGCGGCTGGTGCCCGGGTGCCGGAGCCTGTCGCTGCCCGCGCTCCTGGCCGAGGTGTCCGACTACATCGCTGCGCTGGAGATGCAGGTGCGCGCCATGGGCCAGCTCACGCACGACCTCGCGGCGTCGGCGTCGGCGTCGGCGTCGTCTTCTTCCGCGCCGACGGCGGCGCCATCGATTGCTCCGCCCTAGCTCAGCTCAGCTCTTTGATTGGATTTGGACTGGATGGAAATGGAATGCGCGCGCGCGGCCTGTACATTTCTCCTCTGCTAGCTGTTCGAAGTTGATCGATCGATTTTGTTTTGCCCCTTTTTTGGACAATATTTGATTTGTCTCTTGCTTTGCTTAAATTTAAATTGTAAGCTGAATGTGAATGGTGCTTCACAAGTGTGAACGTGTGACGTTTGAATGCAAAAGCAAGCAAGCAAGCAAAATGCCTGCATTAATTAGTAGAGTATATTGATAATTGTTGTATTATTGCTTTGCCTCTTGTGGAAATGTAATTTTTTTTTAAAAAAACGAATAGGCCCGGCAGTACGACATGACGCTTTTGTTTGTTATATACGTATAATCGATCAAGCAAAACAGAGGACTGACTGCATGTTTTGCTTTCTTTTCTTCCCTGTTTGCAATACTCTTGTTGCAACAAGGAACAAAGACACAAAACTTCTTCTTTTTTATTTTTGAATGAACAAAAAAAAAAGCAAAACAAAAAACAAGGGAAGAAAGGCACCATGTGCAGAGGATCGGATAGCACGTGACTTATTGCCGCGTAATGACCTGACCTGGCAGTCTGGCACGTGAGGTGGGGCCCAGCAGCAGCCTCACGCCAAGACACTGACATCGCCGGTCAGCCAGGTGCCTCTTGTCTGTGTCACTGTGTCAAGTCAGAGCTAGCTCCAGTCACTAGGCCTGGGATGTCTTCCTGTGAGCTGCCATGATAGTAGCAAAGTTACAAGAATGATATGGTAACATTGAACAAAGGTAAGCATGCACTTTATTAATGAATTGGTAAGTTTGATCGACCTAAATGTTTGGGTGGTACATATTTCACAATTTCACAATATTACTTGGTGTTTAAGAATATCTGATAAGGTGGGGAAGGCATTAAAATTAATTGCGGGATTTACTTTTGTTAGAGAATCTTCCATAATATGAATTGCAATAACAGAACAGCTTTTTTCCCCATATCTGAGAGCCTTGTGTACTGATTTCATGCAAATATAGCCATATTTGTAGCCTTTTTCTTTTAAAGCGACCACCAGAGCTGGTAATTTAGAAAAGAATAATTATAAACCTATAAATGATTGGATGCTTCTTAGAATGTTTTATTAAGTTCATGATTTGGAATAATTTAGGAAGAAGAGAGGATAAAGGATGAAGGTTGGCACTTGGCAAATCGTCGGCAAGAAAAAGCACCATAGAAGACCACAAACTTAAGTGCAAGAGGCTTTAAGTGTTGTGATCTAATCATTTGTTTGTGCACGACATTTCCATATGGGAATTTCATTAAGCACAAATAATGCTTTGCAATAAATAGACTGAAATAAATTAATAATGAAGGTATTCTTGGTGGGGGTTTTATCATGGATTTTTCGGTACCATGGTAAGAATAATACAATATGCGATTAGATGAGTTTTGTTATGCTTTTTGTTAGCTGAGTTATTATGTTTCTTAGCTTCATCTCATTTTCAACAGTGTGCTTATTATTTTTTTAACTGAGTTATTATGCTTTTCGTTGGTTCACTCACTTTGTAGATAATACCGTAGCGTTAGCACGGGCAATATAGTAAGGCAAATATTTGATAGGAAAGACAGAGTGCTCATCTTGCCATTCTTCTAATGGGATACTCTGCCATGCTTGCCTGAAAATACGGTGAAGGTAAGCAGACTTGCTTAGTTGCTTAATGCAAAAATGGCTTTGTTCTTGGTGGATTTTATGGGCCTACTTACTAAACTTTGAGATGTGGGAGGAGAAGGGTATCAAGAAATTCTGGATATGCAACAGGTGAGCGCTTTCTCAACCTCCCTCTCTATTTTTTTTCTTTCTAGCCATTATTCAAGCAAAGAAGAATCTTTCACCAATTTCGAAGGGGAAGGTCAGCAATCTGGTTTGCACAACACCACAGGTTCTTTCTTGCATGTTGGGTAAATGCATAATTTCTTCACCTCCAGAGATAATGTAAAGGTTCACAGCAATGTTTGTAAGTAAGAAACACCCGAATTTAATTTCTATAGTTTCTTGGTTTAGTTTTGTCAAAACTCAATAAACTTAATTGTGTGATTTGAAAAAAAAAAGGATTTGTCCTTTTGTATGGCGTCATATTTCCCTTGAAAATCAATACATCTGTTGTGTTTGTCCTTTGAGTAGTGCATAGATTTATCAAATGGTTTTACCTTGGTTCCTTTATAAGTTTAGTGTGCAATGGTATGATCAGAGTTTAGGTCAAAACTTTTGACCAAGGATTTTTCCCTGAACCTTTTACACCTTGTACAGGAAGGCTAGCATATACAATGGATCACCCTTGAATACTATACCAATTACTTAAGTTCTCATGCTACAAATCAGGTTTCTCATCAGGAAAAATAGGAATGCTCGCTATGGATGGTCAGCACCACAGATTCATTGTTTTATACTTTTACCGAAAGTGGAGGCTGTTCTGCTGCTGTGCAACTTGAGGCAATCTTCACTGCAAGGTTGTCATTATCAAGTTTCGTCAACAGTGGCAAGACGCTCATGACATCTTCACTGTCAGATTCAGAATTGGAGGAAGCGTAGAGTTGTTCATATGATTATAATGTGTGTATATAAAGTTTGGATTAATGTGTATAAATAAATTTCAAGTTTCATCAATAATGCCAAGCCTGACTTTTTGATTAATGTGTACATATACAATTCAAGTTTTTATGTGCATCCCTGAAATGACGCCGTGGCGTTAGCACGGACACTATACTAGTATAATGGGTGGTTTAAATTTACGATTGAATTTACATTGCACTCGATAGATCTACTCTGAGCATCCGTATACTCTCCGTCCGAACGCTAAGGTATTCGTGCCGGTCAAGCTTTCTTTTTTAGAAAATACTAATAACATATGTATCTTCAAATAAGTTTATTATAAAAATAAATTTAATGATCTATATAACGATACTAATTATGTATTATAAATATTAATAGTTTCTTGTTCTATTTGATCAAAGTTTAAAAGTTTTGACTCCTCGGAAAACGAGAATAACATCTACTCACTCTGACCAGAAAAAAAAATGCAGCTACGGGTTGCGTGTCAGCAAGAGTGGTTCATAACCAATTTTCTAGTGAATACTATTCGCATTTATGGCTCTAAAATAATTTATTTTGAGAATATATTTCATAATTAATCTAATGATATTTATTTGATATTGTAAATATTAATTTTTTTATCTATAATTGATCAAACTTAAGGGGTGTTTAAATTCAGAGGCTAAAGTTTAGGGGTGTCACATCGGATGTCATATTGGGGTGTCACATCGAGTGTTCGGATAGTAATAATAAAACAAATTACAAAAATCCTCAGTAATCCACGTGACAAATTTGTTAAGCCTAATTAATCCGTCATTAGCGCATGTTTACTGTAGCACAACATTGTCAAATCATAGACTAATTAGTCTTAAAAAACTCGTCTCGTAAATTAGTCTCAATCTGTGCATTTAGTTTCGTAACTAGTCTATATTTAATACAATATGCATGTGTCCAAACATCCGATGTGACGGGGGCTAAAGTTTAGGGGTGGAAAACAAATAGTCAGTTAGTATACTAAACCATGAGACTGTTGTAGAATTGCATTCTTTCTTGGACGGAGAAAGTACTTCAGGATGGAGGGATGTATTTAGTCCAGTCTCAATGGGAGGTTTCATTCACAGTTACCAATACTCCCTCCCGTCTTAAAAACAATGAGATGAAATCTCCCACGAAACTAGCCTTACAAGCACAGATGGGGTACTGCTAAGTACTGTGGTTCATGCGACGCATGTAGATGTAGCTTTAGAGCGTAATTATGATGTCTGTTAGTGATGAAGACAACACTGTTTGGACCTGAGTCAGTTGTTAAATGACTTGTGTTTCATGCGTGCATGTACGCGTCTTGCACTGTTAAACACCTGTTAGCAAGCTTGATGGTGTTCGTCCTCGTCATGGTGTCTTTTCTCCATTTCTTTTAAGTTTATTAGAGGTGATGTGACGGTGTGTCGTGTACATGCATGCAAGTGGACTCAACTCAAATAGTCTTCAATTCAACTGTTTTTTTTTTCAGGCAGAACCGTGCACACAGAAACACGAAGAACTAGTATTGGGTTGGGCTTGCAGGATTCATGCTGCTCTACTGCGCCGGCCCACGATGCTCTACGCGGCAAATGTACTTTCCAGCTGACACGTCGCCCCAACAAAAGGAAAGGCACATGATGCTGGACACCAATACAGCATTTTTAACCATTCTGCTACGCACAATGCATAACTTAAGCAATGCCACTCTGGAGTCACAAGTATCAACTGACAAAAAAACAGATCATAGTGTTCGGCTGATGGTTTCTACGATTGATAAGCCGATTGAAGCTGATTTGTTATGAGAAAAAAAAAACACTCTACCATAGCTGATAAAACATGCCAATAAGTTCAAGCGAACATGGCGTTATCAAAACTGCAATGACACGGTTTACTGACAGTGGCGGTTCAGTGATAGCAGCAGATTTTGACAATGGATCGATGAAACTCAACACAACATCAACAGGTTCCCAACTACTGAAACTCTAGGTCTGATTCCTGATGTTCCAGGACGATCGTGGCCAGCGCTCGTCGGTACGCAGCCGATCTTGCATTCCTGACAAGGACGCAGATCTCCCGGCTCTGCGAGTTTTCATGCGCCCATTGCTGTCGCCTCAATACTGCCAGAAGCTTTGCCTCGCAGAATGCGACAGCGACCGCGTCTTGCCCATTACTGCGATAAGTGAAACAAAGTGTACTCCCAAGTTACTACTACTAGATGACAGTATGGTACCGCTCGACGTGTATAGATGGGAAGGGAGATGGAATAGCTAGTAGTACCTTCCGTGGATGAAACCACTGGTGACAAAGCCTATAGGCCACCTGAACGCCTCCCGTGCGGCAGCATCTGTAGGCAACTGAAGGCTGCTGGTGCTAGGATCATCAAACCAGGAGAAATAGGAATTAACATGGGACTGAGGGAGCTGGAGTTCCCATTTTTCTACGCATTCTTTCTCTTCTTCCTTTGATCTATTCCATGCATGAAATGAGATTATTAGTTTCTTCAAATATTTTTTGTTTCCTATTACCTCCTTGGAAAGTATACTGCAGGAAACAGATTACAGAACGAGGTGTATTTTAACAAATGCTCAAAGCAAGCACGTGTTGTGTCAAAATACCAAGGTGTCCTCAAGATTGCTAAGTACACATCAAACAGGAATAAAGTACATATTGTTTCTGTAATATACATGAACTAAAATAGCATGTATGCTCTCTTGATATCAACCAAGAAAAAAAGAATAGCATTCCTCAGACAATATACTGTACTAAAAGGACAGGTGGGATATTGACCTGATTTTCCAAGCTGAAAGATCTGAAGGAAATGGGGCACAAACGACAGCACCCTCTTCGAAAGAACCTACCTTGAAAGCTCGGATCAGAACCCTTGTAAGGCATAATTCACTCGAGAATCGTGCCATTTTGACAGTGTCATTATAAGCTAAGTTGGGTTGATCAGAATCCACTTTCATGTCAGATGATGAACTCAGATATTTCAAATCAAAATCTTCCACATATTGTCTCAACATTTGGGTGGTTCTTGGCACATGAAGTTGCAAGGATGCAACATTTGCTTGCGATGCTTCTGCATCTCCAGATTTGGAATGTACAGACGAGTTTTTAGGTAATGCCATATTAGCCCGCACTAAGTCGTCTACTTCAAGAACACCCAATATGCCATCATCTTTATGAAAACAAGTCATGATACAGTGCCATAAAGGAGGCACAGGAACGCTTGGAGGTCTCTTGGCAACAGGGCAGCGCTCAGCTACTTTATCAAAACCAGCAGCTTCTTTGGATGCATATGATGCATACGCTTTGCTGTCTGGATAATCATAAGGAAAGCATGGCATTCTGAACTGCATAATGGATATATCAGTGCATTAGTAGTGTTTAAGATAATAAAAAAAATGGTGCTAGTAAACCTGCTGTGCACTCCTTGATGGACAAATTTGACATTTACTGACTCTGCCAACAAAAGGTGAGATCTCACCACTGTTCATTCTAATTGTATTTCATATATGGATAGCTTTGTTGCTAAGTTGAACAATTGCAATAACAGTTTGATAAATTTAAGGCTTCATCAATAGTTGTCCATTCAAGAAAAAACCAGCGATAATTGGAAGGAAGCTACTGGCTGATAATTAGCTTTTCGTTGTATTACACATGCAAATACCTTTGCTGCAATCCACCGTCTCTCTCTTAAGCCAATTGCATGGGCACCATGAGATACTAGAAAGAGCCAGAAAGGTTTCACCCAACTCAACGGTAGAATGATGGACCACCTGTATATTCATTCAATGTGGACAATAAGACAAACTCATTAGCAGGCTTACATGATGACAATATATAGTATATAAATCACAACTTTTCATCATTTGAAAGGTTACCGCACCAACTCACTAGGGAAACCATAATAGCACATTATATAGGAATTCAAGACATAAAATAGAGTTCAAAAATCAAAACTCATGATAACTGATCTAGATTATATTTCTCGACACGAGGGGGGTATGACTGCCCCCACAGCATTCCAATAAGAAGACCTTCTCACCAGGCCGAGAAAACCCCCTGAACCCCCGCGGGCCGCCCCAACCTTACACAGCGGAATCCGTTGCCCAAGTGAGAATTGGGCCGGGCCTTAGACCTGTGCTTTGGTTTATGGGGCGGACGAGGGGATTTTTTTTACCTCAGCCTGAAATTCGCTCCCACGGGGAATCGAACCCAGGACCTGAGGTATGCTACTCAACATCCTAACCACTAGACTAGGCGCCCTTTCGCATCTAGATTATATTTCTTCTAAGAAGCAAAACCAAAAAGAACTTAAATCTGAAACGAGCATGAGATACATAGACTCAGGTGTCATGATAGGAGGGGCAAACTCATAATTAGGAAGCAACATGGGGCAACCATGCAAATGCCCCTTTCCTTTATATAATGGGACAATATGTAGGATAGCATAGAAGTCAACAATTTCTTCATATGCTCTTGCAAGCAGGACATCTAATGTAGTATGTGACATCTTCAAGGACAAAAGATAGGCCTTACCCTAGAGCAGGCATTCCCTCTCCGGCATGTTTCAAAAGAATAACCGGGCAGGATCGAATGAAGTTATCCTTCTCTTGGGTTGTTCGCCCTTGATCATTTCCTGAATCCAAGCAGAAAAACTTCATACGTTCACAGTGCTTCTCCTTACAAAGAACCTCATCTGACACAGGAGGATTTATGCTTTGCCTGGAGTCCCACAGTTCCCTACAGTCAGAAAGGAATATATCATGCTTCCCAGGGTACATCCACATCAATGGCAACATATTTGCAACCTCTGATGACGCCTCATTAGCATTTGGGGCTACATCTTCCTCCAAAACTTTGCTCTGCTTGTCAAGGGAGGCTAATTTAGAAGAATCTGTTCCCTTGACTGAAACTTCTCTGGGGTCATGAACTACCATGGATAGTATAGCACCAGGCTGAAGAATGTCAGCATTATCAATGACGGATGCTTTCGAAAGATGAGGGACGGTAAGGGAATCTAGGGGAGTATCAGTTGATGCAGAGATATCACTTGTATCTGATACCATGTTGATATTACTTGAACTGCATTGTTAATAAAAAAGACATAAATTAGCATGCCTTGGCACCTTTGTTTTCTCACTGGTAACAGTAACTTAGTTCCCAAAAAGAAGAAGAGACTTACTTGGTTGGATGCAAAATCTTCTTAAGAGATTGCATAGCCTTGCATCCATTGACTTCCAATCTTGCAATTTTTCCCTCTAATGAGCAACATTTAACAACACCAGCGGAATCTTGAATCTGTAGTGCAGGGCAGGATATTATATGGTGAGATGAAAGCAGGAACCCTAGTATTACAAGGAGGAAACTTGCTTCTAATAACTGTTACGCAGTAGTAAGGATTACATTGCACAAGGTAAATTATGCTCACCAAATAGCATCTTAATTCCTACATTCAGATCATAAAAGCAGCAATTTCTAAAGTGCTTAGGTACTGAGCAGGTGGATGTTTCTCATTAGGATATAAAAACTGGTGAATGGTACCTTCAACCATGAAAATGACAAAATGACTAGTATTTTCTGGTCAACAGCTCAAAATAAAAACACTCAACTCATCTGTTTGTTTAGCGAAGCTAACCAACAAAAAAAAAGGCACGAGGTTTTCTTTTTGTCATTCCTCCTATTAAACACAAATTGCGGTGCATCCTGTATTTTCTGTGAGTAGTTTGCACTTTAATCTGAATAGGAAGTGCAAATACAGTTTTACTTGGAGTCATGTATTTGTGCTGGTTAAAAATAAAAAAGAGTGACAAAAAAGTATTCTACATTACTTACATCTCCCTTGCATATCCACACACTCACACTAAAAGTATAAGAAGTTCTCTACAAATTAGTGAAACTACCAATTCAAGGAGCGAACTACTTAAAAAACTATTTTCAAATTTTAGCATACTGAAATAAGTTTCTCCTTTGCCCTCCAAACAAACCTGAAAACTGCAAGTTAAAGCCTTAGATAAGAAATTGAGGAAGCACCTGTCTCTCACATGCAAATCTTATTACACTAATCCCTTCATTGAGTGCAGCGGGATGAATCCATATCCACAACTGGCGTCGTGAGGAATTGCCGCTTTCGTTGTGAATGCTGTGAGATGTGCATGGATCTCCTTCAATCTCAGATTTGTCATCTGCTCTTGAGAATGGACGCCACATATACGTTACTGGTCCAACAATTTGAGAATGCAGACTCCTAACATCCCAAAGCTGGAAAGAACAATTAAGTCAGAGTTGTCACTTTAAATACTTGTACCCCATACTGTCTGTGGTGAACATGTAAATACCATAGCATTCTCATAGCAAACACCTCGCATTACTTGATCTTGTAGATGCTTCAAATCAGGTGTGTTTTCTACAGGAGATGGGCGCAGAACCATTCTGAGAATCGATAACAGGGCGTCCTGGAGTGAGCGGCACACTCAGTAAGATTGTTGAACCATCAGAAGAGAAGCCACTCATAACAGCTAGGATGGGGAAAAATTACAAGCAAGCAAGGGAAAGAGAACAGGAGCGTGTACCTCTGGACCATCTAGCTCAATTGGAATGAAGTAGCCAGCATCATGGATAGTCGTGCCATTTTTCAGACGCTTGAGAACACATCTTGAGCCCCTCGCCCTGGAATGTATAATAACCATGTTAGGGCTACAAAGTTTCAATTACACCAGGAGCATCTACATATCACAGTATACAAATCAGGTAACGGAGTTGATTAGAAAGAATTCCCTCCTCTCCTATTAACAGATGCTGCAGACAGGGAAAGGTACCAGATTGGCCATCTTACAACATCTGCATTTCAGATTGGTCAAGCATCCTCTACCAGGACTGCCATTTGTATACTAGCTAAAGATTGAAGCCAACATTAAAACAACAAAATACTCTTTCGTGGTGCAGTAGGGTTACAAAATAAATATCTTTTTTCCTGCACGGGCGGCACTACTGCCAATTTATTGAGGAGCAAACAACTTAAAAATACTGCTTTCTTTTACGATTGTAGCCAACTGAAGCCGAAAAAAAAAAACACACCGCCGTTGCTCAACTGAAGCCGAAAAAAAAACAAGGCCATTGCTCACCTCCCCTGGGCGCCAACGGGCAAGATGAATCCCCACCGCCTCTCCATGAAGAACCTTTTCGCACACCACAGGTGCGTGCGCAGCCGCCGCGCGCCGTCGCCGGCGACCGAGAACCCCTCCGCGGGGTTGCCAGCGAGCTCCCGCCGCCGCCTCACCGTCCTGGACTGTTTCCGCGCCGGGAGGCCGCCGTCGTCCCCGGGACCCACCTCTCCGGCTCCCCGGCGGTGGCGCTTGTTGGGAGGTGCCCTGTGTGGTGCGGCGGCGCGCGGAACGGGGCTGCTGCGGGCCGCCGGCGTCGTCGAGTCTGGACGACACGGCTGCGTAGAGGGAGCGGAGCTCGCCGGCGCGGGCGGCCGCGAAGCGCCGCACCTCGAGCTGCGCGGCGGCGGCGGCGGCACACCGGCCATCGAGGGGAGGGTTTTGCGAGGGCTTCTTCTGCGACTCGTTTGGTTGACGGCGGCAACTCGATTTTTTTTTTTTTTTTTTTGGGTTCTTTTTTGAGCAGAGAAACTGATTTTTCCTTTTTTAGTGAGAGCGCGATTGGAGATGAGACGTTCTGATGAAGGCCCGGCCCAATGCATTCGGCTTCCTGCAATCCAGCTGGCTGCTGCTCTCCTTCGGCCCAGACCACTGCACGGCACACCTGGTTGCACGTAGTACTCCCTCTGTCCTTTCTAAAAAAAAAAAAAAAAGTAATCCCTCTGTCGCAAAACAAATGTGTTTCTAGCTTGTCCAGATTCAGAGCTAGAAACATATGTTTTTGGACAAAGGAGTATGATTTATGTCAGAAATGACGCTATATTATTATTAGTAGACGCAAATACACCTATCAAAAGTTTATAAATAGTGAACATAATCAAAATTCACTATGTATGTACTCTCTCCGTTCAAAAAAAAATGCAACTATGAATTGCGTGATGGTTAAAGTGATTCACGTTTAACCAAGCTTCTAGTGACTAGTATTCATATTTATGGCTCCAAATATATTTATTATGAAAAATACATTTTGTAGCTAATATAATGATATGTATTTGATATCATAAGTACTGATATTTTTTTATTTATAATTAGTCAACTTAAGATACTAAAACATGACAATGTACTAGAATTGTATTTTTTTTCTTAGATAGGAGAGTACCTATATAGCACAAGTCTACACAACAAGGCAAGTGCCTTCCATATGATTTGCTTTAGGTCCGTTAGACCGCTACTGAATTAAGCAATATGTACTAGACAATATTAGCTAGTTTAGTCCAAAGGGATATGTTATTGCCGGTTATTTGTTGGTTATATAATCACAAAATGCACTTTCGGAACGGAGGCAATATATTACAGATTATTATTCAGAATCTAGAGAGACTATAAATGTGGATTAATTCTGGTAAATCACTAGGTATATATTGAGATTATATTTTTTTCAAAATATAAATTGGAGCAATTAGGAAATATAAAATGGTGCATATCAAACGGCCGGGCAGCTCGTCTTACCAAGCATGATAATTGATAATCGTCTGCGAGGTTAATGATACATCTTAGTGCGTGTGCGATGATGATGGTCACGACTCACGAGCTATATGGATCTCTCAAATCCGGGCATGGTGCTCCCTGATGAGCCGGCTTTTTTATGTACTAGTATTATTGATTGATCTAGATATCCTATTCCTCGTCCTCCTCGTAGCCTTCGAGATGGAGTGTCTGCCCATGGTTGAGCAAGAGTCTGGAAACTGGATAAACTACTCTATTATCACCTCATACAAAATTGACAATGCCTCCCCTAGGGTTAGTTCATGCAGATTATTCGCCCAAGTACTACTTACTTCCTCTGTCCAAGAAAAAATACAATTTTAGTACAATGTCATGTTTTAGTATCTTATAAGTTTGATCAATTATAGATAAAAATGTATTAATATTTATGACATCAAATAAATATCATTAGATTAATTAAGAAATGTATTTTCATATAATATATTAATATGGAGTCATAAATGTGAATAATCATTTGTTAGAAACTTGGTCAGACGTGGACCGCTTTGATTGGCACACAACACATAGTTGTATTCTTTTTGGGTCGAAGGAAGTACTTTCATTAGCAACAGCAAGACACTTGAATCTGTGGGTAGAATCTTCTTTAATTCCATCCTCTCGCTCATAAAAAAAAAAGGAAAAGAAAACATGTGGCAAAATAATAAAATCTGGATACACATTGCCAGATGGAGATGAACACCTTTGTACTCCATCAAACTTATTAGTAAACCACCCCCTCTCACTCTGTGTTTGGAATGGTGTAATCACCAGTCCTTAATTTTGGCTCGAGGTGCCATCTTGATTCTCAAACTATCGGTCTGTTCGCTTGTTGGTTTCAGCCAGCTTAAACCAGTCAGCCAACAGTGTTTTCCTCTCACAAAAAACCAGCACCAGCCAGCCCAAACCAGCACCAGCATCAACCAGCGAACAGGCCCTATATCACAATGCACGTCCAAGTTTTTAAACTTATTAAGCGTGTCATATGAAGTCTAACCAATGTTTGAGTTAATCGATCGGCCTAGATGACACGGAGTATTTTCTTTATCTTTATCATATAAAAGAGAGGAAAGTTACCCTACCTAGGCAGACAAAGGGATATGTCAAGTACATACATGCATTGGAACTTGAATTCTTGACTGGCCTATCACCCCCCCTCCCACACACCCACACACAGAATCAGTCTATTCGGCTGGGGCTGAAACGATCGTATACGATCGTGGATTATTACTGCTGGTTGGTTTGGTGTGAGAGAAAAATACTGTTCTGGCTAGAAATTTACGATCGTTTACGACCAAGCGAACAGGCTGTGCAGCATACTCTCTCTAATCTAGCAACGAGACCATATGTGATATTTCTATGCCAAGTTGTGACTTGTTATTTGGTTTCAAGAGGCGGTTATCAGTATTTGGTAAGGCTCCACTCTTCATAGTCTTTGCCCTTTGTGGAAGTCAAGCGCAATGAGATCAGGCAGCCATGAGTGCGTCCACTCCTTTTTGCACACAACAATACTATGCCCTTGTTTAGTTTCACCCTAATTTTCAAAAAATTGCTACAGTATCTGTCACATCGAATGTTTGCGGCCCGTGTATGGACATTAAATGTAGACGAAAAGAAAAACTAATTGCACAGTTTGGTGGGAAATTGCGAGACGAACGTTTTGAGCCTAATTAGTCCATGTTTGAACACTATTTGCCAAATAAAAACGAAGGTGCTACAATAACCTCAAAATTCAAATTTCGTGAACTAAACCAGGGCTATATATTATATATACAAAAGCCAAATTCAAAGATGGATACACTGCTGAAGAATCGTGATTTTTTTGGTCCAGTACTATCGTGCAGTTTCAAACGTAAATGCCACTGTACGGACGAAGAGGGTAAAAAAATAGAGAATTTAGTACGAGTGATCTACTAAAGGTCGCGGCGGGAGTTGTGATTGGCAGGGAGCGTGTCTGCCAGCGAGCGTATGCTTCGCCATTTCTTTACTCGCCTTTTGCTAGTCTTTGCATGGAAAAAAAAAGGAGAAAGAAAAGCAGCCTGAGGGGCATGTGCAACCGTGCAACATTGCACAAAAGACTGCGGTGGATCCGATCCAAGAGCTGCTAATACTCTCTCTGTCCTAAAAATGAAAGCCATCTAGGATTTTTTAAGTTTATAAAAAATATTAGCAACATTTGTATTTCTAAATAAGGTTATTATAAAAATACATTCAATAATTAATTTAACTATACTTATTATGCACCATAAATATTAATAATCTCTTGTATATGTTTGGTGAAAGTTAAAAATATTTGATTTTTCAAAAAATAAGAATGACACTGGTTGTGGAACAGATGAAGTATTATAATTAACTTAAAAAGTTTTTCTGTTCTTGTGCATTAGTTGACCATGTAGACTTACAACCAACTTCTCTTCTCTCTCCTCCACCTCAGTATAAAGTCTACTAATAATCTTTTATTATATTTGCTCTAGCATGGTTAAACTATGACCATGCTGGTAGCTGATGTGGCAAAAATCAATGTTTGAATAAAACCAATGTTGAGCCTTGAAGGGACAATAAATCCAAACCGTATCGAAGCTGAAGGCTAATGAAGCCGCAGGTAGCTAATGGCTATATAACAGCACACACGAGCGAGCATGGTACCTATAGTCATGTTGCATCATTGTACTGTCTCTATTTTTTTTTTTTTTTTTGACAACATGCGAATGCATCATTGTACTATCTGAATAATAGATAGAAAATGTAACTCTGGAGGGAGACCCCTACATACGCTACGCAGCTGAAAGACTCGAGCTAGCTTTCACAAAAGTTGGGAGAAAAAGAATGGTAGGCTTTATTCTTGGGCGCATGCATATGGCTTTGGCATATCACATAAGTACGTTGATGAGCAGCAGGAGACACGAGCCCATGCCCATGCCCATGCATGCCTGCGGACCCTTGTTAAGCTTGGATTGTGTATTTCGATCTTTGGAACAGAGGTAGCTCGTAATATACGAGTAAAACCAAACCAAACAAAAAATGTATGGTCACTGCCAGCAATTCAACTCAATCCAGGCAGAAATTGCACTGCTGAGTGCTGACTAGCTAGGAGTGTATATATATAAAAGGTTGATGCTTCCCATTTGTTTCGGGGTCGACCAGATTTGGCTGTCCCCCTGATTAGTGAGTGAGTGCTTAAACAAGTTGACTCCATCAACCAGTGGAGTAGTACTGTAACTGTAAGTACATGGAAGATGTGGTGGCAACATACTACCGGTTGGCGGTTGGCCTTTTTGCCAAAGCGCCGAGCATCATCTGTTTGGGCCTTGTTTAGATTGGAAAAAATTTCAACCCGATGAATAGTAGCACTTTCGTCTTATTTGGTAAATATTGTCCAATCGTGGACCAACTAAGCTTAAAAGATTCATCTCGTGATTTCCAACTAAACTGTGCAATTAGTTATTTTTTTTACCTATATTTAATGCTCCATACAAACGGCTAAAAATTGATGTGATGGAAAGAGAGTGAAAAAACTTGGAATTTTGAGGGTATCTAAACAAGGCCTTGGCTGGAGTTCCCCAAAAGGGAAAACGACCCCAAACACTGTTCCGAGCATCATACTACCGGTTGGAGCAGCAGCAACGATGCTTGAGCTTCAGCAGCGGGTAGCCTTGGAGTGCGGTGCCCTTACCGGTGCCGGTGCGAGCAGCGATGAGCTGCTTGTGCTGATGTGCTCTGCGCCTCTGCTCGCTCCTACGGACGGAGGAGTTGGATACTCTCGTTGCCTTGGCTTGTTCGCTTCACGTATAAGGCGTATTTTTCGGTTAACAAACAGTAATTTTTCTCTCGTACCAAATGGAGTATATCGTTGTATTGGCGGATCATGCTGCAGCAGCAGATCTGC